TTACATTTGTTTAAGTGAAAAACTTGTTCAATGCAAAGAATAAGGCTATGGTGCACCTAAAAGATTGCACTAACGATTTTAGCTGATTCGGTGTTGAAGAAATAAGAGGAAATTGAAAAAATAACAGATATATATAACTATCTTTGATATTATACTGTATGTAAATTCTTCGGCTTATTCGTTAAGATTTAATTTCCCGTTTTTTTTTTTTCTGAAAATTTTTTATTACTGTATTTTTCTCATTATACAACAATTTTTAAGTGTTAACTGCAGAATGTTATAAGGTGAAACAGTGATTGTTCACTCAGTTTAGTTTTACTGGTAAGTCTTTGTTCAATTCTTTATAAATGATTTTTTTAATGACTGAAACTTAAAAAACGGTTTGTCTGCCAATTTTTGTTCTACCAACAATTAACTGTTCTTCTACTGACAGATTCACTATGCGGGGTACAGTAGTCGACATAAAACCATACTGAAAATGTTTGGTAATTTTTTGGTTACTGATAAAGTACAGCTTTTGTAGACGAAATTATAAATTTACATAATGAAATTTACAAATAAGAAAAGTTCTATAAATGATGTAATATAGTACATAATTTCTTTTGTTGTCGTTTGATTGAAATAGTCAGACTAAATTCCAGTAAAATTTTTAGTGCAAATTTAGTTGCTGAATTGTCGACGTTTTTGAAGTTACTGTCCAGGTCGCTAAGATTAGCACTTCCGCATAAAGCTTTTGCACTATACTTATAAGACCTTTGTTTTGAAACTGATATAGAAAATATGATAAATTAGCTAAACAAGTGTTGATGTTTGATTCATCTCAAAAATCGTAAGCAGTTTGCCTACCAACACTACAATTTCCTTGTTTTAACGATTTTTTTATTTTTTCTTATTCATTTTCTTGAGTGTGAAAATTTTACTAAAAAAAAAATTTGCTTTTAAATAATTGATAACACAAAATTTGGCCATAAGGAAATTTTAAAAATGGATATAACGTAATCTTCGAACATACATTTGAATGTATTTTGTTTCTGTTTCGACTGCCATATATCGTTCAATAGCAATACCCAACCAAAGCAGTGATCCAAGTGGATTTCAGGATAAAAATGTCTTTCCGTGATCTGATAATCAAATATCGTCAAAACCGTAAAGTACTTTTAATGATTGTTTATATAGCGTTACTGCTCGACAATATGTTGCTTACTACAGTTGGTTAGTGCTCGTCTGATGATAGTTTTATAAATATGACACTTATTTTTTAGCAATTTTGATTTTTTTTTATTTTTTATATACCTTAAATGAATTAGCACATCTAAAAAATTTTTTTCACCAGTCTTACTAGTTTTTTATTTGCCTCAACTAAAATATTTTACTGGCATTTTTCTCGATCATTACTTCCTTCTTTACAGTTCCAATTATTCCTGAATACTTATTACGGTTGTCGAATCCAAATTCAACAGATTTAATTTTGAACACCAATGGACCGGAAAACGCTGCTGTCCGAGTAAAACGTGATATAGAACCATCAGTTAACTTATGGACAAAATATCCAGATAAAAGTTTTGTTAATCGAACATTCAAAACAACTGTCTGTACATGCGACGATGGTCTAATACGACGAATCAAAGTGACACCGAGAATTTCAAAACAACCAAAGCAATTAAAGTTGCCAGATTGTAAGCATTAAATTTTGTAATGTTTCACATAAATAATAAGATAATTTTCTTATCTAATGAGATGCAGAAAATAAGCAAAGCTTTACTTAACAAGAACCTGAATATCCTACAACCTTTGCAGTAAGTCACACCACAACAACGGAGTTACCTTCAACTACCGAAGAATTTACTGAAATTCCGCCAATGACAACTGAAACAGCAGAGGAAGCTGAAGAAGAAATAGCTGCGGAACGGCACGATACAATAACTAAAGAAAATGTTCAAGTTGGCCTCATGTTCGGTTCCAAAGCTCTTGTGCAACTGTTGACTAATCCTTGGGTTGGACCATTGACAAACCGGTGAGCATAAATAAAACCATAACTTCAAGTGTTTTTTTGCTTCTCACTTTTAGTACTGTTTCTACTGTTTCTACTATCTTTTTTTTTTCAGTTTTTGAACTTTCTTTAGGATTGGTTATACTATACCTATGTTTGCTGGTTTTATAATTGTATTTCTTTCAACATTAATGTTCGCTTTTGGCACATCACTTGGTATGCTGTGGTTAGCAAGGGCATTGCAAGGCGTTGGTTCTGCGTGTACTAGTACATCTGGTAAAAGCCTACTTTAATTTCTAAAAATTAGTCGTTTTAAAGAATGTTCAAAAACAACAAAAATATGGTTTTTAAAGTACGAGTTTACATAAAATCTTTTCGACTGTTAAGCAATTAACAAAAATTTCAGCGTCACAAGGCAGCAAACATAGTAAGTGACTTCATCTTGCTGGATAGAAAACAGATAACTTCTAAAAAATTTTAGCTCAAAATCTAAAAGTGGAATAAAATTGAAAAAAAAGCCTTTCAAACTGTAATTACTTAACGTTATCACTTAACCAGACGTTGTATCGAATGAATATGCTGTGTTACTGCCGAATAAGTATATACAACGATTACAGGGATGGGTATGTTAGCTCAAGCTTATCCGGATGATATGGAGAGAGGCAGCGTAATGGGTATCGCATTGGGTGGTATAGCGTTAGGCGTTCTTATTGGACCGCCGTATGGCGGAGCGCTGTATCAGTTATCCGGAAAAGAACTGCCATTTGTTCTGCTCGCACTATTGGCACTTTTTGACGGAAGTAAACAGTTTGACTTTGGTCTATGT